CCTCCCGTGCTCCCCAGGTCCAGGTGGCTGTTTTATCTAACAGCCTATGCAACGGTTCCGCCACGGTCGCCTTTTGAGGTAGGAAGACATTGTAAAAGTTTAACAGTCCCAAGAAAGCCTGCAGTTCCATTTTGTTTTTGGGTCGTGGCGCTTCCCTTATGGCTCTCAGTTTCTTCTCTGTGGGGTGGATCCCTTGTTTGTCTAGGAGGTACCCTAGGAATTCGACCCTTTCAGCCCTTAGCTGGCACTTCCCTTTCTTTACTTTGAGCCCCGCGTCTCTGAATTTCTTCAGTACCTCCCTCAACCGGGCTTCTAGTTGCTTTTCGTTTCTCGCGGCCACTAAGACGTCATCAAAATAGGGCACCACCCCCTCTATGCCCTGGAGGAGTCTTTCCATGAGGCTTTGGAAGACCCCGGGTGCCACGCTGACTCCAAACTGGAGCCGGTTGCAACGGAAAGCCCCCCGGTGCGTTACGATGGTTTGGGCTTCGGCGGTTGCGGCGTCGACCGGCAGTTGCTGGTAGGCTTGCGCCAGGTCGAGTTTGGCAAAGATCCGGCCTCCCCCCAGCGAGTGCAGAAGGTGCTGCACTACTGGGACGGGGTATGCGCTTTGCTGGAGCGCGTGGTTTAGGGTGGCCTTATAGTCCCCACAAATTCTCACGGACCCATCTGGCTTGATGAGGGTGACTATGGGGGTCTCCCACCTGGCATGACCGATTGGCTCCAGTACCCCTTGCGCGATGAGTTTATCTAGCTGCTCATCGATCTTGGGCCTGAGTGCAAATGGCACTCGTCTGGGTTTAAGGCGGATTGGTGCGATGCTCGGGTCTATGTTAAAAGAGATAGGGGACCCCCGGTACTTGCCTAGGCTGTCGTCGAAAACTTCCTGGAAGTCCTCCACGAGCGCCGCTTCCCAGTCCGACTCTGCGGTTCGGTGGATTCCGGTTACTTCAATGCCTAGGGGTGCGAACCACTGTAATCCCAGCAGGCTCAGCCGATCCCGGTCGACGATGGTCAGGGGTAGCACTTCGGTGTGGTTCTTGAAGGTGACTTTAAAATGGCCTCTGCCAACTACAGGGATGCGGTTTCCCTGGTAGTCTTTGAGGGTTAGTGTTTGGTCTTCTAATTCTTTGCGGCGGATGGAGGGAACCAGGCGCTTGATGGTGTGCCATGAGACCATGGAGAGGGAGGACCCAGAGTCCACCTCCATGTCGCATGGCTGGTCTTCTATCACCACCGTCACGTATACCTTTCTGGCATCTCTTGTGGAGGAATGGTCGACGATGACGGTCTGGTGTGTTTCCTCCCTTTGCCTTGCCTCGTTGAGCCGCCTGTTCCGACCCTCCTGGCTCCAGCGGCTCTCCGTCTGGCGGTCTCGGTATCTGGTGGTGGTGTTCTCTTGCCTGCGAGGGCTGCCGTCTCGTCGCCGCGGGCTGTAGTGTTTTTTGTTTCTGCATACCTTGGCGATGTGCCCCCGTTTCTCGCACTGTCGGCAAATGGCATCGAGGAACCGGCAGTCCGAATGGGGGTGATCGCCTCCGCAGCCGGCGCACTGGAACCTTGACTTACAACCTTGGGGTTCCCGTCGCCCTCGTGCTGCTTGCAAACGGTGGATTTCCTCCTCCTCGTCCTCGGTTCCTGAGAAGGAGTCAATGTCGCCGTGGTGCGTGGTTGCGTCCCGGTGGTCGCTCTCGGGTCGCTTTTCGGGGTTCATTGTCGTCTCACTGGTCGCTGCTCGTGGTGTGATGATCGATTGTCGCATCCGAGCCGCTGATTTCTTGGCCGCTTCAGCCGTGGCTACCTCTGTGAGCGCATCGGCGAGGGAGATGTCGCCCTTTGCCATGATGCGACTCTGGAGAATGGGGTCTCGGAGTCCCAGGACGACGCGGTCTCGCAGGGCCACGTCCAGGTCGGCGAACTCGCACAGGCCGCCCAAATCTCGTAGTGCCGTTATGAAGTCGCCAAGCCCTTCGCCCTCGCGCTGGTCCCGCCTGTAGAATTCGTGCCACCAGATGAGGATGGGCACGACGGGGGCGTAGTGGCTTCGTAGCAGGGGCTCGAGGTCGCCCCACTCCATAGTCTTGACCTCCTCCGGCTTGGCCAAGGCTTTGGCCATCTTAAACACTGCTGGCCCGCAGTGTGTGAGGAATACGGCCCGTTTCTTGTGACCGTTGGCATCTTTAAGATTGCTACACTCGAGGAACATCTGGAACCTATCGGTATAGGATTCCCAGTCCTCGGTAGCGGGATTAAAGGGTGCGGGTGGCGAGTTGATGCCGGCCATTCTGCTTGCTGCTGTGTGCCGCCTCGCCACGTGCTGGGTGGTCTCTTTGTCTCACGATCCCTCCTTCGTCGCCAGTGTTAGATCTGAGGTGGATCGGGTCGAAGGAGATACGAGACCATTCTGTGAGTTCAGCTCTTTATTTAGGATAGAAATAGTCTGGGGGAATGCAAGCCGCGGCAGCCCTTCATATAGGGCTGGCTCGCGGCTCGGCGGCCAATGGCAGCGCTTTGAATCTCCCGCGATCGGCACAGCCAATCGCGGTAGACTCTTAGCGCTCCAATCACAGCCGGGGTTTCGACCAATCAGGTCGCTGTCCGTCCGGACCAATCAGTTGCGAGGGTTTGGAGTATGCTAATACAGCACAGTGGGCGTAGCAGGGGAAGGATAAAATCTCCAGTCAGAAGTGGTATTTGCCGGTTCTCCGAACTACTCAAAATTTCCACTACTGGTTCTCCAGAACTGGTCAGAACCTGCTGAATACCACCTCTGGTAATGCCTGTGGCACAACCTCCTATTCATGTAACAGAACAATGTAGTAGACTAGAGGATTCATCACTTCTTTGGAGGGAGGGGAATATAGACTAATATCAGAAAAAATAAACTAAATCAAAATTTTAGAGACAAAATGAAAAAATCTTTTTTAAATTTTACATTAACTTTACCTATTAAAATCCAAACATTCATTTTTGGAAAAAGATAATTTACAGTGGTGCTCAGCTCATTAGAGAAACAGCCAGTAACTTAGAAAAACATAAAAACATTGGAAGAAAAATACAGTGGTCCAGTTAAGCAACGATATGGTGATGGTCTGCTGCATAAGAAGATGAAAGAGAATATCAAATTAATATCAGTTACAAGAAAATTTTAGAGAGAAAAATGTATTTTTGGCATCGAGCCTGAAATATTTAATACAAATTCACACTGTGAATTGAACATCCAATTTCATACATTGTGCAAAGAAAAAAGAAATTCAGCATCACATAGAAACATCTATCAATAACTTGTTATATCCTAACCCTAACCTGGCTAGATATAGATAGCAAATTCTGTAAAAATAGTATTCTTGTAACAAAAATTATGTTTCTGTTTTTACCTTATTTTACTTATCCTTCCACTAAACAGTGGAACTTGGGTATTTGTATGTGACAAAGAGTATCGATCCCTCGTGAGAATATGTTAAGTGAATATCTAACCCTGTTTAACTTCTATTCTGTTTCTGTACTTCTCTTGAATCCCTGATGAACAATCATAACATCCCAACTGCAATTTTGTTCCTGTGAGATTACAATGTCAATATTAAATGGCTAATCATTATATATTAGCAATTTGATTTCCTGATAATTTTTTTAGGAAATTTAAAAAAAAAAAAGAGTTCGTAGCACTTGTAAAATGGGGGAAGGAAGGCTTTCATCTATCTAATGGTGTTATATTATAAAATAATGTTTCTTATAGCAACCAAAACCCCTTCTCCATCAAAATAGATGTGTTTTAGTAAAACAGCATCTTCCAGCAGTCCTAATCAATGACTTAATTGGGAGGTTAGGGTGAACTTTTGAGTGGGGGCAGAATCTGCCTTCTGATCCTGCAACATGGATCCTGTGGATCCTCCCTTTTTATCACCCTCCTGCATATTAGCTTGAAGCAAATGCATATGTCAAGCCTGCCATATGGAGACAGCTTTAAATTGCTTCATCTAGCAGCTGTTTAGAAGTGGAGAGTTATTTCTGTGCAATTTTTTCCAAGCTGTTGCAAACTTCAGAGGTAGGGTTGTTGATGCCAGAATGAAGAAAATCTAAAATGAAAATCCCGTGCACACAGATCAGTTCATCAGAAATACATCAATTAAAAGTTTATTCCGTATGTCAGTAGTAACATGAATATTAGTCCTAACTCAGAGTTCCAATAACAACATGGTTCTTTGATATATCCAGAATATTGTACATCCAAAATCAAAATTTGAGTTCAACATTTTAAATTAAACCAGTAATGCCAATGCATTTGAATATCAAGCTCATATGCAGATGAAAATATAACAAAGGGAACATGTATCATTGTAATGGAGCTCAAGTAATCCATAAAATAAAATGGAGTTTGGGGGATTATAAGTAGTCCTTGACTTACAACAGTTCACTTAGTGACCTTTCAAAGTTACAACAGCACTGAAAAATGTGATTTTTGACAGTTTTGTTTACAGTTACGACCTTTGCAGCAACCCCATGATCAAAATTGTGATCAAAATTCAGATGCTTGGCAACTGGCTCATATTTATGACGATTGCAGTGTCTCACAGGGTCATGTGTTCACCTTTTGCAACCTTCTGACAAGCAAAGTCAATGGGGAAGCCAGATACACTTAACAATCGTATTATTAACTTAATAAAGTTAATAAGTGATTCTAAGTGATTCATTGAACAACTGTGACAAGAAAAGTTGTAAAATGGGGCAAAACTCACTTAACAACAGAAGTTTGGGTTCAATTGTGATTGTAAGTCAAGGACTGCCTGGATGGCAGGAATAAAAGAATGATTAAATTCATCTCTGCTATCCGTAGTTTGGTCATCATTCTATAAGCTTCCCAAAGTCACTTTGAATAATGATATGGCTGGCATAAAATTTAATAACAAATAAGTTAAAAATAAATATAAGGAATCTTGAAGGCCTTAGGGTCCTGTGTTGAATACCAATAATGACTGATCGTTGCTGTTGCTATTGTACAGGCAAACAACCAAAAGGCATATTTGCTATTGAGAGCTACCATGCTCAGTTGGCTCCCTATCTGCGCAAGGATTCCCGAAGAGATTGCTGCTTTGAGTTGACTTCTCCTGATAAACGGACCTATGAGGTATGATTACGAGAAATGGAAAGTGTTCTTTTTGCCAACATGAACTATAGGAAGAGTTTTCATCAAAAAAAAATTAGTCACAATATTTGTTTAATCAGGGAAAAGGGGACATTCTGTATTCTGTATTTTGGAAAATGCTCAGTGAAATGTTTGGGCTTCCTTTGTCATTGATCACGTTTATAGAGGTCCATCCAAGTAGAATTTTACAAATAGCACTCTCTATCACTCTTTATTTATCCATCCATTTATCTTAGTTAGCTGTAAAATTCCAATATCCTGACTTAAAGAATATTTTGCTACATGAAGCTTAAAATCCTCTTGAACTGCTTCGGTAATGCTTGCCACAGAATTTAGCTAGAAAGTCAGTATGGCATGGCATTACAAAAACTTTCATTATGATTTTTTATGTTTACCACATACATGTTTCATTGCTGTATTTTTAATCTATTTTATCCTGGAATTATTTTATTTTGACATGGTTTTAAGAACAATCAAGAATAATCAACTACTACTACTATTACTTACTTAAATGAAACTATTTTAAAGAGTTGATTACCCTCTGCCAGTGTTCTATTTCCTGCCTTTCCCATGATTTAACACATGCCTTGCTATGCATTCCTCAGGCTTGGTGCTGTCTGATAGTTGTTGACATAACAGTGTGCTCTTGTTCTGGAAAATTCTAGCTTCCAGCATGAATCCTTTATTCTCCTGTGCACAACATGCAGATCCTATAATTTTTTGTTAAGGGAATGGGACTTTCTTTCTACTAATGTATATTCAGTGGTGGGATTAAAAAATTTTTACTACCGGTTCTGTGGGCATGGCTTGGTGGGCGTGGCAGGGGAAGGATGCTGTAAAACCTCCAGTCAGAGGTAGTATTTGCCGGTTCTATGAACTACTCAAATTTTTCGCTACCGGTTCTCCAGAACTGTTCAGAACACGCTGAATACCATCTCTGTGTTTATTCAACACATACATTAAAATATATAGAATTAAAAACCAAATTAAAAACCACTTAATCCCCCTGAACCATTGTTTTTCTCATTCTAATCAACTTAAGTTATCCTGGCATTAATACAAGTGGAAAGGGCCTAGACGTTGCTGCTTCAAAGCTAATATGAATTCAGAGCTAATTTATGCTGAGTTTGAACTTGATACAACCCAATCAACATGTGAAAATTCCACCCAGTAAAATTAATTGAGATTCAAGGCTGTTCAAAATATCTCAATGAGTCTATTTAGATTTTTAAAATAAGTGAATGAATATAAAAATAACATTTAAAAAAAGGTGGGGGGGGGGGACTCTTTTACACAGAATGAGAAGAGATGAACAGTGGTGGAAATGAAGGAGATTCTGATATTCATCCAGACAAAAACATTGCAGTATAAGGCATTACCTTTCTTTTTGTTCACTGATTCAGCAACTGAATGGTAAACTGTCTTTAAAAACCGTATTGCATTTCAAATGATCCTACGGAATAATAGGATATCATTTATTTATTTATTTTATTAATTTGTCAAATGCTTACAATGTAATAGAAATAAAAATAAATATAAGTACATGAAATAGGTACTAATAATTGGGGACAATAGGATAGGGACAGTAGACACGATTGTGCACTTATGAACACCCCTTACAGACCTCTTAGGAATGGGGTGAGGTCATTAGAAGTTAGTTTGACGCTAAAGGAGTGGGGATTTGAGCATGTGACAACAGAATCAGGTAATGAGTTCCAGACATTGACCACTCTGTTGCTGAAATCGTACTTCCTGCAATCAAGTTTGGAGTAGTTTACATTAAGTTTATATATGTTGTGTGATCTTGTGTTGCTGTGGTTAAAACTGAAATATTCATTAACTGGTAATACATTGTAACATATAATTTTATGTACTATGCTTAAGTCCAATCTTAGCCGGCATAGTTCAAGGGTTTCTAAGCCTTGAATCTCAAGTCTGGTGCTGTAGGGAACAGAGGAGTGTAGTACTCTTCTTGTAAAATACTTCTGCACTCGCTCAATTGTATTAATGTCTTATATACAGTGCGGATTCCAGACAGCAGAGCTGTATTCAAGCATTGGTCCAGCAAAGGTTTTGTATGCTCTAGTTTGCAAATCAGTATTACCAGAGGAGAAGCTTCATAAGATTAGATTTACAACTCTTAAAGCCTTTTTGGCAATGCTGTTGTAGTGAGCTCTGGTGCTTAGGTCATTCGATATGAGTACTCCAAGGTCATTGACAGAGTGAGGGTACTCAATGAGGTCCTATCTGCCTAGGTTGTATTTGGTGTGTTGATTATTTTTTTTACCAATGTGTAGGACCGAGCATTTGTTAGTTGAGATTTGGAGTTGCCAACTGCTTGACCATTCAGACACATAATCAACGTTTTGAGGATAGGAATTGAAACAATTTATGTCCAGGATGTGAGGGGTCTGTAAATATTTTCACAGCCATCTTTTTGACTTGTGCAGTATACAGGTCCTCAATGGAAGGCAGGTTGGTAGTAATTGTTTTTTCTGTAGTTCTAATTATCCTCTGAAGTCTGTGTCTGTCTTGTTGGGTTGCAGAACCAAACCAGACAGTTATAGAGATGCAGATGACAGACTCAATAATTCCTTTGTATAACCATATCAGCAGCTCCTTGGGCAGTTTAAGCTTTCTGAGTTGGAGCAGAAAGAACATTCTTTGTTGTGCTTTTTTGATGACGTTTTTGATATTAGGTGTCCATTTTAAGTCTTAGGATATGATAGAACCTAGAAATTTGAAGGTCTCTACTATTGATATTGTGTTGTCTAGTATTGGGGGTAGTGTGGGAGGGTTTCTCCTAAAGTCTACCACCATTTCTACGGTTTTGAGTGTGTTCAGTTCCAGATTGTTCCAGTCACACCACGAGGCTAGTTGTTCAACCTCCCATCTGTATGCAGATTCATTGTTGTCTCAAATGAGCCCAATCAGTTGTATCATCTGCAAACTTCAGCAATTTAACAGATGGATGGATGGATGGATGGATGGATGGATGGATGGATGGATGGATGGATGGATGGATGGATGGATGGATGAAGGGATGAATGGATGGACGGATGGACGGACGGATGACTGACTGACTGACTGACTGACTGACTGAATGAATGAATGAATGAATGAATGAATGAATGAATGAATACAGGTAGTGGTCCATTAATAACCATATTACTAACTTAAATCCTAAAACTTAACCTGAATTGCCTAACAACTGTAGTAAGAAAAGTCCAAAAATGAGGCAAAATTCACCTAACAAATGTCTTGCTTAGCAAGAGACATTTTCGGCTTAATTGCAAGTTGTAAGTTGAGGACTACATGTAGAACGTAGTACCAGTGGCATGTAATCTGCACTGAGGGTGGTGCCATATTTAAGTATCCAACATGTAAATCAATGCAGATACTCTAACTTACAACCATTCATGTAGTGATTGTTTGAAGATATAACTGCACTGAAAAAAGTGACTTATAACTGTTTTTCACAATTACGACCATTCCACAATCCCCATAGTTAGGTCATCAAAATTCAGCCACTTGGCAATTTTCTCATATTTATGATAGTTACAGTATCTTGCAATCATGTCATCACCTTTTGTGACATTCTAACAAGCAAAGTCAATGGAAAAGCCAGATTCATTTAACAACTTTATTACTAACTGCAGTGATTCACTTAACAACTATAGCAAAAAAAAAAAGTTGTAAAATAGGGCAAAATTCACCTGACAAATATTTCGCTTAGCAACAGAAATTTTGGACTCAATTGTGGTCATAAGTCAAGAACTATCTGTATACATTTGGGATTGTGATTTTTTTTTCTTTTGCAGTTCACAGCTGCTAATCCTGCAGAAGCTATAGACTGGGTGGATCATATCACATTTCTGCAGAAAGGTGAGTCTTTTAGGAAAAATCAAACCCATACTTTAATTCTAAGAATTAATTAATTAATTAACCAATGAATGAATTACATATTTATCATTCTCTTCAGTTTTCACAAAGTGGAAGGAGAAGAAATATTTCTAAATTTTTTTCAAGTGAAACATGTATACCTATCTTGTTCTTCTGGACTTTTGACAATATAGTTCTCACTCTCCTGTATTTCTGCCTTCTCTGAACATATCTGCTTTTATATTGGTCCTGGGGTTGGATACTGGTAGAGTCCAGACTGGTAACAACTTTGCAATGTTCTGCTTTATTTTACTTGTTCGTTTGTTTATATTTCTTAATCACCCATCTTGGAGATTTTTGAAGGAAATATTAAACAAAATATTCTCCAAAGTTATGCTTACCGCTCTAACACCCAATGATCACAAGACCATTTCTATTTATCTCCAGCATCCCAAGGATTGCAAGAGCTATTTAATTTTCTGATTGCCATTATCAAGATTTTCTACATAAGGGTTGCCAGTATAATAACACTTCATACCTATCTTTTTCAAAATTCATGCCCTTATTCTTTCTTCAGATATAGGCATGCTGCATTTATGGATACTGATCGAATCAACAGGACTTTCTTTCTCTACCACATATTGTTTGTCATCACTTTCCCTTCCATGCCTCTCAACTTTTTATCAACATATTATTTCTATCTTTAATAGACATCTTGGAAGCATAACTATGTTCCATTAACTTCAGTTAATGTATCAGGTACTGTATATCTTAGATTGATAGAACCGTAGGACTAGAAAAGACCTTTGAGGTCTTCTAGTCTAACCCCTTGTCCAAGGCAGGAGACCTTATACCAGTGGTGGCTAACCTTTTTGGGCTCCTGTGCCAAAAATTGTGCATGCACTCGCACGCTCGCGCTCACATGCCAACACCCAGAAGGCAATGCGTGACCCCCACGCCCCCTATGCATGAGCACGCAATCCACACCCCCCCCACTGCCCCCTTACCTGCACTGCGCTTCACAGATGATTTTCGGCGGGTTTGAGGCCTTTTTTGGCCTCCCAAAGGCTTGAGGAAGGCTTCTGCAAGCTTTGCCGGCCCAAAACTAGCCCTGTTTCATCACTTCCTGTTTTTTCCAAAAATACAGGAAGTGACAAAACGGGGCTAATTTTCGGCCTGCAAAGCTTGCAGAAGCCTTCCTCAAGCCTTTGGGAGGCCAAAAAATCCAGCTGAAAATCAGCTGTGAGGCGCGCACATGTGCAGTGAGGTAAGTTTGCCTGCAGCTCACGTGCGATAGGTTTGCCATCACGGCCTTATACCATCCTGGATAAATGGCTGTCCAAGCTTTTCTTGAAAACCTATCAAGAAATTTTTCCTTAGTTCTAGGTTGGATCTTTCTTTAATGAGCTTCCACCCATTGTTTTTTGTTTTGCCCTCAGGTGCTTTGGAGAATGAGTCAATTCCTTCTTCTCTGTATTAGTGCTTGAAATATTGGAAGATAGAGATCATGTCACCCCTAATATATCTTTGTTAGGCTAGACATACCTAGTTCCCTTAATCATTCATAGTACGGTTTAGCCTCCAGATCTTTGTCATCCTTGTTCCTCTTGTTTGCACTCTTTTTAAGGCCTCAGCATCTTTGTCGTGTTGAGGTAACTTGTGTTAGAATGCAGTTGGACACTGTATTCCAACTGTGGCCTCGGTAATACAATGTAGTGCAGTGATATACCTTCTGTAATCTTGATGTTATCACTGTATTGATGCAAACTGCATTGACTTTTTTTGCAGCTGCAGCAAACTGCTGGCTCATATTTACATGATGGTCCTTTCAGACACCTAAATCCCTGTCACAATTATTACTGTTGAACCAGTTATCCCATATTCTATTCTATGCATTTGTTTTTTCCTGCCCAAATGCAGGACCTTACTTTTCTCACCACTGAACTGCATCTTATTGGATAGGACCCCAAGCTGTCAAATTCTTCTAAATCTTGAGTCTATCTTCCAAGGTGTTGCCAATTCCCCCAGCTTGGTGTGGTCTGCAAATTTGATTAGTTTCCCTTCTATTGTCTTAGCTAGATCATTTATGAAGATGTGAAAGAGCACTGGGCCCAATACAGAAACTTTTGATGTCCTACTTTCACTAAAGTCCACACATACGATATTCAAAGCATTTCTACTATAGATACTTTATCAAAAAGGTAACAAGGTTTGCCTCTAAATTATCCATCTTCTCTTCCACCAATCCAGTCAATTTATACTAGATGCAAATATAATTTGAGTTCTACATAAGCAGAAATACAAGCATAGCACAAACCTTGCAAGACACTATGGTGCTATCCTCTTTATCCATGACTTTGTTATGGTCCATATAAATGCTCCAAATAAATCCAACAAAAGTCTTAGATCTAAGGCAAACAGAATATTGTTATCTATATTTATCACACTTTTCACGTCTTTCCCTTGTTGTGAAAGAGAATTCAACCTTTTTAAAGATTATTCTTCTGCTCCTTGTGGCACATGTTGAAAGAATACTTAAATACATGAAGTGAGGGCAAATCAGCTGTTCTTAAACAATCATATGATTCCATGTCTTTGTCAGAAAGCCTTGTATTCCTTCAAATGCAGTTTACAATCCACAAAAATTTGCAGTTTTAAATTTGCAACTATTGTAAGTAAAGGAATAGAAAAAGTAAAGACGAAATTCTTTAGTTTTTCATATGTTTAAAAAGAAAGGAAAAAATAAATAAAGTTTGGAAGTCATGAGTCCCAGTTGCTTTCACTCAAGAAACTTCTTATTTTGCCTTGCTCCTGAAATGGAGGAGAGGCATCAAGGCTGGAGGCAGCAGGATTTATTTTATGTTTCTTTGTACATTTTGTTTAAAATCACTTGGTGTGGCAGGTTCTCTGTCCTCACAAGAGCACTGGATGATCCTTCAGCATCTCATCAGGGCTTAAAGGCTTAATGGCAGAAATCCATGGCCAGTCAATCACTCCTCTGGGAGAGAAAGAACGCCTGAAGCAGACAGCAGTGAGCCACAAGCAAGCAAGCAAACCTTCCAACCGCCAACCTCAGGGGTTCCACAGAATGCATCTTCTCCCAGCTGCCATCTTTACTTTTATACTTTATACCAGTGAGACATAGATAATTCCAAATATAATCAGTACAATCACCTTAATTATATTTTACCTATAAATAAAATATTCAGCTTTAACATATTGTTGCAAATTGGAACCTATCTGGGCCTTCTGCTAAAATGTCATAAAGTAAATTATCTTTCATTTCTTCCCTCTCTTCCTTCAAAAAGTATCTCCAATTTTATAGAAAGCAGAGAATGAGTAAAAATTGATATTGTTGAAGGAACTGGTTGTTTGCTCAATGAAACAAAAATCTCCTCCTGAGATGTCCTGGATCTAGCCAGCAAATCAGGAACTATATCGTGATTAACTATATATTCTTATTCATATTTTGGTGTGACAGAAGCACATATTAGTTTGCCAGTGTATAAAAAAAGTACTGGGGAATCTTCTTCAGGTTTCAGTGAACAATAAACCTCAATAAACCAGGCAGGATAAAGATCCTACCCATCTCATACAATCTTGATATCCACTCTATCAGAGATCTGATAAAACTAGATACCCTCTGTCAGAACTTTCCCTGAGAATGGTAATAAATATCTCTCTAGGAAAGCAAGCATGCATTCATGGGCTTTGCAGAGAAAGATTCAAGGATTAGACTCAAATTGATAAATGCAAAAGAAACAGTTGTGATAATGAAGATCAGTTACTATAGAATCTAAGAATTTAGCCAAACCATATCTATACCAGCCCTGGATTTAAATTTGTGTTTCTTTCTCCTGCCTTTATGTATTAACATATTTTTTGCTCTTCCATGTGCTTCAGTGTATAGTCATGGAGGCCATGACCACAGAAATGTCTGCAGACAATGCTGGCTCCCTCAGCTAAGAAACAGAGATGAGCACCTAGAGTCCTTTTGTTGTTAGTTGCAAAGTCGTCCTTTTGTTGTTAGTTGCAAAGTCGTGTCTGACCCATCGCAACCCCATGGACAATGTTCCTCCAGGCCTTCCTGTCCTCTATCATAGAGTCCTTTACCTTAATCTTTATATTTTTTGTTGCCTGTTTCTTAACCTTGAATATTGAGGGCATCTGCAGAGAGGTGTTTTTTTTATTTTATTAAAACAAGTTTTATTAGTTTTCAAAACACACAAGTCATCATTATCCATTACATGTTTAACCTTTTTCCATTATAAATTTAACAAGTCAGATAAACTATAATTCTGTTTTAAACCATTTCCATATAAACATACAAAAATCTCTTATCCAATTTCCCTTTATTTCTCTTTACTCTTATTCAATTTTATTATTATTATTTCATCTATTTCTTTCTGACTTAGTTACCATTATTCTCATTCTATATTTCTACAAGGTTTTATTAATTCTCCCCAAAAAAAAACAACATATACACACAACACACAAAACATAAAAAAGATCTTTTTGGAAAGTAACTTGGACCCAGGTATCTCTCTTTTCATGGACTTCAATTATATTCATGCTCATCTTACATATCATTACTTATTTTATTTACCATTCTAAGTCTTCTATATTAACTTCTCCACATATTTCACTCTTCTTAATTCTATCTTAATTAATCATCTTAATTTGAGTCATTATATTTATATCTTTTGTCCATTCTCTATTGTACCTTTATCTCATTCCTTTTAAAAAGAAAGAAATTTCTCCTGAAATCACTAATCAGAGTATGATGCCTTTCTATCTCCCCACTAAATTAATCAAATTAATCTTTAAAATACCCAATCCGATTTTGCTTGGTACATTCTAACTGAATAATACATCCAAAACAATTAAATACATAGTTAAACAATAGATCTAAATATTAAAAACAAAATACTATAATGAAAGTTTTATAATAACATCAATACCATAATCTTATTAAACTCTTTAATTAAAGTTTAATGTTCTAA